ATATGTATGTATGTATGTATAATATATCTTTCCTATTTGGGTGTCAGGTGGTTCACGTGGGAAATGAAGACGCACTAGGACCGCGCGGAGCCAGAGCGCAGCGCAGACGGAACGGGCGCACTTGGGTAAGTTTTAGTCTGAGTGAGTTTTGGAGTGTGAAAAGAGGCAAGCAGGCAAAACTCCACTTAGGTTTTTTTTTTAATTATTATTTAAAATGGGGAAGCAAAGTATACTAGAAAGGATCAAAATCAAGCTGCTTCTTGTCTGATTTAGTGCTTTTTAAAAAATGTTCAAATTGAATTCAAGCTGTGCGTGAAAGCGCGGAGAGCTCCGGGACCGGGGGAAAAAAAAGGAAAAAACTTTTTAAAAGCAGCAAAAACACTAAGAAAAGTTGCAGAGTAGATTCATATTTTTTGATTCTGGATGTGAGCGAGTCGTGGATCTGGACTGACTTTCGGAGGAGCGAGATAACGGTGATTTGGACACTCCCAGGAATCCAAAGAGAAATGTAAACCTCTTCAGGTTATTCAGACACTTTTTTGAGACCCTGATCTCTGTCCTTGTCGTAGCGGTTCCAAACCATCTGATGGACTCACACCTTTGGGATTTATTTATCTTTTGGACTGAGAAAGGTTGTGCGCTCTGGCTGCCGTGACATAACGGGACCTTTTGGACACGTTAGTGAAACGACCGGATGATGGGCGCTCACTAGTTGACCCGGAGGGGTTTCCAACTTTATTCATTCAAAACCCGTGAGTGTTTTTAGTCGTTACTGTGGTTCTGCCCTCTTCACACCACCGCAGAGAGCTTCATGGTGAAGATATGGGATGACTGGAGGCGGAAGGCGCAGCTAAGGTGAAAACGCAGGCGAAAGGACGATGTTTGCGCCCGGCGTTGGCATCCCTCTGCCGCCGGGGCGTCTGGTGCTGATGCTGCTCCTGCTGTCCGCCTCCCAAACCACGCCGTCCCGGGCCTGCCCGGGCCTCCTCGTCTCCACCAGCGGCTGCAGCTGCTCCGAGGAGCGCCCCAAGGCGCACGGCGTCCAGGCGGTGGGGAAGAAGATCAGCTGCAGCAAAGAGGAGCTGCTCGAGCTTCCGGATGCCAGCTTGTTCCCCAACAGGACCGTTACTCTGTGAGTTGGACCTTTAATATCCTACCTGTGCTTCATGTTTTAATTGGAGCAAATAAATGCACTGTTTAATTGGGTGATTCATTTTTAGTTTCATATTTGACATGTTGACAAAATCTGAGCGCCCTCCTGCCCATGCTGTCAGAG